TTTTTTTTTCTTATTATAAGATGATATTTGAAAGAAAAAGGCGATGAATTTAGCGAGAAAAAACACAGGTCTGATTCACGTGACAGTTCATCAAAAGGTTTTGTTAATCTACAAATATGTAAAATAAGTGTTTTGAACATCAATGCTGTCACAGTCACTAATGTTGCCTTTTTTTTTTTTCAATAGGTTTGAGAAAGTGTAGAAAATCAAAATAACAGTCACAAAAAAGAACATTTCAGTGATTGCAGTTGGAGTTACAGAACACTGATGACAAATACCCTGTTTTTTCTTTAGTTTGTTTTACTGACAATAACGGCAATAACTTATTGAAAGATTAAAAAGGAAAAAAAAAAAAACGAAAATAAAAAACTGAAATCCTTTTCAAATAATATTTCACCACATATGACACCCTCTAAAGCCTTTGTCAGCCATTGCGATGACTCACTGTGTGGCTTATTTTAAACCCCCAACATCAAGTATTCAGCGCTGAATGTATCAATACTTAATTTTCTCTTACCTCTTACACTTAACGTTTCATCTTATCACTTCGTTGAATTATACAAAGACACTGTTTGCCAACTGATGGAATTACAAGTGGGTTTCTTAAATGTAAAAGAGACACAACAATTCTCTTTTACTCTTTCACTGTACGTCCCTGATGTTTTTTCTTTTAAAGTTGTTGTAAAAAAGTGTTTCAAAAGGTTATTTGTATTGTCATAACTTAACTATAATGGATCAACAATGCCACTGTTGTGTTGTTTGACGATGACTAAGCAAGTTAATACTACCACACAACTGCCGGTTACCTTCGCTCCTCCGATATATAGGCAATCTGTCAACCTCGATACTGTACACATACTGCGCGGTTCAACATCAACCGCTTTTGCTTCCTCTCGCTTCCTTCGCCCGTCCCCGGAGCCATCACTTTCCATTGCTTAGGTTTTCTGTGTACCAGTTTCTGTCTTTTAGAAACGTCTAGCTGTTTATTTCGCTGTTTAGATTCTACGGATCACAATCTGGATAGATGAAAAACATCCTAGTAATTATGGTGTGCTTAAATGGATTTTATAAAATCTCTTTTTCAGCCTGTTCACTTGATTTTGCAAAAGCAACTTTTAATGCTTCAGTCTTCCCGTAAAGAATCTGCTTTTCATACCAATAGCTCATCTTTCGTTACTATGCCAACATCATTTTGTTTCACATTACATGCTTCGGGAAAAAAATTCTGTGAATAATGCAACTTTCCAGCTAATATAATTCAGAAGATAATTTTGATGAAGACAGCAGTATTGTTATTCTTTCGCTATCCACTTTCAATACCTTCTAAAAATTTTTAATCTTTATTGCTGTAACATAGAAAAACAACTTTTTTGAATCCTAGACATTCCCCTTAATCAATTAGACAAAGGCATCGAGTAACACAACCGATTGAAAATTACCAGAATATTGCTTTTCCGACCAGTTATAAATTACTAAAAGAAACCCGAAAAACCTAATTCCTTCCGTTAACTCCTGAAAATCGAAACAAATTGCTACCTTCCTTATAATATTTGACCGATTTTTTTGTTACAGCTAATGTATTCAGCACTGCTGCTGTTGACTATCGTCGGAACGTCCTATGCATTTCGGCAGCAAAGTGTTGGAGTATATGGGCAACTTTTGTGCGGCAACAAAACGTTACCTAACACACAAATAAAATTATGGAACAAAAACACCCTTGGTTAGTTCGATCTTCACATTACTGCCTTAATCAAACTTATAAATAAATGAATATATTCATTTATATACATATATGTGCGGGTAATTTCACATCAAATGGCACACTTTTCTCACTTGATATTTCTAACTTTTTTAAATTCTGCTGGTTAGTAGAGTCTACGCCATCAATATGGAATATCAAAGAGAAGACCTGAAAAGTGAACCTTCTGCCAAGTAACACCCCATAAAAATTGTGAATTACGCCAAGTTACCGCTTGACATGCCTATACATATAGCATGAAAGTAATTTAAATCCAAATTATGTACCTAGTCACACTCAATGTTTAAGCTTTTCCCTCAAGTCCAATGATAGTTTACTACAGTTCTAAATCCCCTCCAATAACGTAAGTTAACCGACTCAAAAGTAAGCCGTAAAAGACCAGGGATCTTTAGAATGCAGTGAGAAAACCATAAATTACGGTATTTCATTATGCTGAAAAAGCTATAATTTTCTTTCAGCTCCAACAATATTTCTTGTTTCAAGAAAAATTCACTAGCCAAAACTGAAATGAACTCTAGTTATTTCTAAACTTCAAAATTCAAAAATTACTTAAAACCGCGTGTGAACTTCAGCATTTCAAGGTGAAGTAACACACGTGCAAAACTGCACTAGCCACTAATTTGCAAAAAAATAGTAATTTAATACTAAAAGTTGTTTATACTACGTATTAAAAACCTCATCCAAAAAGGTCTATTCCTGAGGTCGCTGACCGCCAACGACCAAAAAATCTTGTATAAGTTTTTTGACAACCATTTTGCTCTGTAACATTTTTGAATTAAGTAAAGCTTTTCGAAGGAGGGTTGACAAAGCAAACTACAGCAAAAACAAATTAGTTGCTCACTAAATTCCTTCTCCTCAACGCTTACACTGAAGGAGGGCATATATACCATATGAATCAAGAATACTAGACGAGAGACACAAGCTGCATTAAATCCACTCGGGGCCTACTGATTTCCTTAATTAAATCTATATCCCAAAAACCTTTCTTTGGTTGACACTAGAAATAACTGGAGGACTGAAACTACCACTTATATATAAACGGTAAGGTAAGACCCAAGCCTCAATGCCTGCCTGATAATCTGGTTCTGCAATCTTTTTGCAGTGGCTGACCTACTAAAATAATTTTAAATCTTTTAAGTTGATTGAGCGCGACCATTCCAGGAACTGACGACCAATTAGCTGCGATGAAGACAGATCAAGATGGAAAGTTCAGGTTGGAAGGTGGTGTAGGTTCGATCTTTGGAATGGACGTTCTCCTCAAGATCTACCACGACTGTGATGATGGAATCAAGGTTCCCTTTTCAACCTTCAGTTTCCGTATTTCACCACTGATCGTTTATATTTACGACGACGTCTAACTAGCTTTCTTACAGCCCTGTCAACGAAAAGTTGTGTTGGGGATTCCTTCAAGCTACGTCACGAGATCTAGTTCGGTCAAAGAGTATTTCAATGCCGGCATCCTTAACATGCAATTCAAGTTCCCTGACGAGGAGCGGAGCTGCATCAACTAACTGTTTTATATGTTGTTAACTGTTTTGCCTTTTATTAACTTCGTCAAATGTTTTGGCATTCCATTAATAATGTACAAAGCTCTGTAAAAAAAAAATATTACATGCCAAACCAAATCCCTTTTTTTGCTCTGACCTCCACTGAATTTTGGGACCCTCTTTCGATGTTTTATCGAGATATCAAAAACTACTTTTCCACTTACACAGTAAGTCACTTACAACCCGCTGATGACAATAAAACTTGACCATAGTCGCCCCAAAACAGCAGTTCTTATGCTCTACGGCTTCAACACTACGTCGCACGAAAAAAACAATTTTCAGAAAATTTTTGCTCTGCGATGGGTTTTTGAAGCACCATCAAACCATGCTTCATCAAAATGAAAAAAGAGCGCTAGAGAGTCTCACTTTTTTTTGTGAAGGTATTGTAAATTAAACAGTTCCCTTCAAAAATTATAAACAGGCGAAATTGAGCATAGCAGCAATCAAGACACGTATAGCAAAGAAGAACAATTACAACCTAGTTACAACGCAATATAAATCTCTTCTTGAAAAACATTACGTAAGATAATAAAGAAAAAATACAAATTACCCAGGTCACAAAGAACAAATTAAGTCGCAAAAACAAAAAACAACTAGCGATCCTAATATGAAGTTAGGACTATCTGGGTTTCTCAAAGTGTTTAATAAACCGTCTTCACCTAAATCTTTTCATGTTACGTCTTTCATGCTCCGTTTAGTTAAACAGTGCCTTTCTAGATGGTACGCACAACACAGCTAACAACACTTCCCTATTTACTCAGAATACTAATAAGATTTGAAAATTTCTGCCAACAAAATCTACATTTCACTCACCGAGCTAACTCATCCTAAATGCTAACAGTTCCCTATTCAACATCGTAGGAATTTACAAAAAAAAGACCTTGAAGTTAACTTTAACATATTTCAAAGTGCTCCTTCAAGAACAGACTACAACTATAGATGAACAGATATGAGACGTCCACTGAACATCATACAAGTAACAAATCTTTAATTAATGACAAGAATTAGCCTGAACTGTAACGGGTAGTTGCGATAAGACCTCAATACGATTCAGTGTAAAAAGTTTTCAATATTAGGAATCCTCCCCTGCGCGGAACAAAAGGAAGGACTATTCAGCCTTACGCGTTTTAAAAAATAAATATAAATTTCATATATCTAGAAACAAACATACTAGGCTAGAAGTCATCAGTAATTCGGATCAGATTGAAAGAGGCGTTTCTTGCATATGTACCTCAAGCAGTTTCCAAGCAACAGCAGGATTATATTCTTCCATATCTCTGCACATTAC